ACCCTAAACCCTAAACCCCTAAGCCCAGCAGATCTACACCAGGCCAGGAGATATGGACCAGTTAGGGTGTAGCGTTTAGGGTCTAGGGTTATGTAGAGAAGCATCATAGGTGGCAAAGACCATCTTGCTGCCATGGTGCTACTTCTTGTCCTGGACCCAGGCCCTCATGTGTAATTCCTTTTTCTGGTGGTATAATATATTCCGGTACCAACAAGACAAAGCAAACCCCAGAAGTGCGGACATACCCGCCCTTGGGTATATACTGTAAACCCCCAACCCTAAACCCTAAACCCTAAATCCTAGACTCGCAGGAAAAGAGGGGCTGCAAAAAAAAGACCCTAAACCCTAAACCCTAAATCCTTAACCCCAAACCCTAATTTTAAACCCTTACAGGGCTTCTTAGGATCAATCCAGTGGCAATTGGGCTCTGCCTTGCACGCGGAAGCCAGGGTGACCCATACTGGTTTATAGTCCCCTTAAGTAGATAGAATATGGGATAAATGGGGATCTTACTATAATATCCCCAAAGTTATATGTTCTATCTACTTAGAGGGGACTATGGCTCGTGTATTGCACTGATGCCCAAAAATGAGGAATGATTACGCAATTCAGGTTGTAACGCTTATCCCCGAAGAGTCAAGGGTCTGTGGTTCAAAGGATGTTGGGCAGGAGGAAGCTCGACATATGAGACCGTGAGGCGTCTTTTGAAGAGGTGTAGGGCTTCGGGAGCATCAGGCTTTGTGTACGGGCATTGTGCCCTCCTTCTGTAAGAATTGCACAAAACCTTATAATCTCAAATGAGTCGCACTCACATTGCCCGTTTACTTCATTTAGTCTAGTTGGCAGTTGTTGCGCCAACATCCCCAAGATTGATAAGGGACGTCCTGAATCGGTAGGTTGAATTGATCTAGGCTAGGGTTGTGGGAAGATTCCTCAACACGTGGAGATCGAAAGGGGACATCCTAATTCAAAAAACTACTAGATGCCAAGCAAGTACTGGGCAATACCCAACGCGTGTTGACTTGATTTCTGGCACCCACAAGAACATCCATTGAACTACGCATCACCTCCCCCTGGCGGACTGAATGTATAAGCTTTCACATACCACAAGCTCACATCTCGCAAGAGGAACTGCCCTAAACCATAAACCCTACACTCCCTGTATTCTGAAAAAGTGGCAAGGAGGTTTCCAAAGCAGCGGAAGCTGCACAGCGGGTACGCAGAAAGAGGACGTCTGAGACGCTTGGCTCAAGAAGGAAAAAGAGAATAAGAGATTTAGGCTTTAGGGTTGTCTAGGGGTTATATAGAGAGATCTACCCCCCCATGCTGGAGAATCAAATGCAAAAGAAGATGAACAGTGAGATGGACGCTGGGATTGAGGTTTAGGGGATCATGGACGAGGCACCCCTGAGATCGGGCAGGCATACTTTTTGAAAGGGTCTGCCTTCCAAACCCTGGTTGAAAGATTCAGCTACCCAAACGGGAATGCCACAAAACCTGCAAGCAGAAGCCCTACAGAATTAACAAGGTCCCACCAAAGCCTTGCAACATCCGGCCGGAGCCTCACAAGAGCTCTGTTGTTCCGCAGTCCTAGGTTCGTGTGCCTTCGCCAAAATCTGAATTATCTTCGCTCGGAGAAGCTCATGTTGTTCTCCCTGATCAACCGCTTCTTGGTGATGTGCAATAACCTGCCGAGAAATGTTTGAAGGCTGAACATAGGGATCTAAGGCATCCGGATTCTGGAGTGTGTAAGGCTCCTTTACAAGGACTGTAGGATCCCGTTCATCGGTTACCGCCCTTTCCATGATGCGCTGATTGCTCCGAACCAGGTAATGCTGATGTAGGTGCTTGGGTGCGGCATAACGGCATACTTATGAGTTTCCATGTTCTTTTCCATTATAGCTATATAACCCTAATATTATCCACTCTAACCCTAGGCAGCAAGCAAGCTCTGACTGCTAACTTGGGGATGCCTAGATCTTGCATTGTACTTTCTGTTCGAAGCCTTGCACTGTAGCTTTTGTTTGAAGAGTTTTGTTTGAAGAGTACTGCCTGTCAGAATTACTATGGAAGCACTATGGACCGAGATGTTCGGTTACGCTGCGTGCTGCCATCAGTTTGCTCGGGTTCCCCACGACAAGCGAACGAGATGGTCCCTCTCAAGCCAAGATTTGCATGCTGTTGGCCTTGCAGTCGTTCCAACACCTTATGCTGAGTGCTGCTGGAGAGATCCTAACTTGTGTAGAAAAGGCTTTAGATATCAAAACATTCCGTCACCAAAAAATCAACAGCACTCACCCAAGCACGGACAAAGTTGAGCTCCGTAAGCCCTAAACCCATAAATCCCAGGCGAAAAGCCTTCCTGACCCAAACAGCCATTAACCAACACCATGCTCCAAAAGGCTATGTGCCCTTCTTACATCAGCTGCTGGGTGGGCTCCTACTCCCTGGGCACAACCGCGCACCCTACGACCACCACAACCAGGCAGAAATTTCAGGCTGTCGGCCTTTTTGGGGGGGATCCATTGTGTGTAGGTATGTCAGGCCTTGTATGGCCGGGATGTTCTCTCTCCGCTTCTTTCGATTTGGTTGAATTCCTTCTTGCACGCTGTACTTGCAGGTCCTGCCAGGATTCTAGTGTAGGTGATGCGGTTTAGGGTGTAGGGTTTAGGGAAATCCCCCACGGACTCGTAGATAGGACAGCCCCTCCGAGAAAGCCCCACGTTCCTGTACAATTCCCTTCCAGGATCCTTGCTTAAAGCTGTGCTCTATGAGGGCCCCTAGGAATCTACTGCCGTACTAAACCCTAAACACTAGATCCTAAATCCTAAACCCTAAACCCTCAACCCTAAATCCTAAACCCTCAACACTAGATCCTAAACCCTAAATCCTAAATCCTAAACCCTAAACCCTTAAGCCTTCACCTGGTGCCATCCCAAGGAGCCGCAGGAAGCACACTCCAAAAGACCAAGTCGACACTTCCTGTGTCCCTGACCACGGTCGAGTTGGTGAGACCTGCAGTCACAAACGCCGGCATTTAAGGTGTTTAGGGTTTAGGGGTTTAGGGTTTAGGGTTTAGGATTTAAGGTTTAGGGTTTAGGATTTAAGGTTTAGGGTTCAGGGTCGGATATGTAGGGCTTCAGGGGCTTTTGATTTTGGGTTAAGGGCTGAGGGTTCACACTGGCTATTGGTGGCAGTGCTGTGGGGTCTGTTCGTGGGTTTCCACAACCAACAGTGTCCCCATGGGCTTGAAGCCCTCTTGAATTTTTTGCGCTATGTCGGATTCTTCCGCACCTGATCGGCATGATGAAGCTGGATTGTGTTTCAAGGTACAGGGTTAACGGTTGAATCTCAGAGCGTGGTCAGCGGGACTAAGTAAGTAGACAAATAATGATGGGCAAAACTGGTGTTACTATGTGTGCCTTGCGAAGGTCACAAGTTATAAGAAAACTCACTAAGTGACCCTGGCCCTTCAAGTCGGAAGGAAGAAATGCTCTAGAGTTACTGCATCTACGGTTAGGATTTAGGGCATGGGGTGTATGGCCGAGAGTTTGGTGCTCAGCGTGTAGCCCTGAATGCAGCATGCAAAACCAGGCGGTCAGCTGCTGGCAGGAAGGCAAATCCAGCCAGAGCTCATGATTGGGACGAAGACAAGAATCGCCTAATCCCTAAACCTTCAGCCTAAACCCTCAACCCGAGACCCTCGGCCCTTAAGACATCCGCAGGGCCACCCGCTTTGGCAGGGAGGTGGCGGCAGTACCTCTGCAGGTACTGGCCAGTGATAGGCTGGAGCTTTGAAGCTTGTTCCCTTGCTCGGTCGGTGCGGTCCTGTGGCAAAGGCGCCGGTGGTACGGAGGCACTTCTCCACAGTGCCGCCCAGAATTCCAGCCTGAGGAGACCCCTTATCCGAATGTCGGCTTCCCCGTAGGGTCGCAGGCTTGACGCTTCATGGCTGCGCATGGCCCTGAATAGGGGCCGCATTCCTTTTGCCGTGCCGTTCTCCAACCAGTGTGGGTAGGCTTTGGAGTCGGCCTGCCGCGCTTCGTCTGACAGGCGTTTGGCAAGGTTGCCTAGTTGGACAGCTAAGTCCTCCTCTGACGCACCCTTAAAGCTATACCTCCCCAAACTCCCGAGACATCTTCACCCCACCACCCCTGAAGAATAGCTCTGAAACCCAAGCCCTAAACCCTAAAACCCTACAACTCTAAACCCTAAAGTTTAGGGTTTAGGGTACCCTAAACCCTAGAACCCCCAACATCCCTAAAACCCTAAAACCCTGAAACCCTGAAACCCTCGACCCTACTTTGAGGGACCCTTGAGCTAGGTAGTCTACAATTCAGGGTTTAGGGTTTAGGGTTTAGGGTTTTTGGTAGTAGGTTACCTAAACCATCAGGAACCTAGAGCCCCACAGAGTCACGAAACACCCCAAAATTCTTCGCCCGTTTGCTAAATTCCCAGACCTTGCACGGAAACCCCAGCCTGCATATCCTTCTAAGACCTTATTTAGCCCAGCTTCAATATTACAATAAGGGTACCCTTTTTTCTGTTGGTATATTATATATGGGAACCCAGAACCCAAAAAAGGGTAAAAGGGTACCACTGGGGTTCCTAGGATCTGGAAGCTATGACTTTGGCATTGTTCGTGTCAGGCCCCTGGTACCTCAAATGGAAGCTTTGCCCGCCGCCCATTTCGCACATGTCCACCACCAAGGGGTGGGTACCCGCTGAGAGGAACTTCCTGTAGCTGCCCCTTTCCTGCGAACCATGGCAGCCATCGTTGTCAACGACTTTCTCTCCATTTAGGAACAAGAGAGAACCTAAGATTCAAGCCACTGGCTGAGTCACGTAAGAAGATCCCCATGCATGGCTTTTCGATCCCAGGCACCGTCGTCTGATGTCAGGAAAAACCTGTAGTCACCCGTTTTTTGGGTGACCAGTTGACCTGTGCACCTGCAAGTCAGCATGCGAATGCCAGCTGATGATGCTGTCACATTCAGTGCCTCATGCAGAAGTTGTCATTCTGGCGAACGTCTGGGAAGCTTCCGAAGAAGATTTCCGGAACAACCAGTGACTGACCAGGAATCCTTGTGCAACACCATCAGGTGCAAAAAGCTTGGGACAGCGCGAGATCATGTCTTAACTTTAAGTTCTGCCGCGCGGCAGGGTTGCTAGGTCTGGAACAGCACACCGCGCTTGGTTGTAGAAGTACTCGCACTCCAAGCCGTCCGCCAAGGGCTGTCAGGACCGACGAATGCTTCAGTTTTGCTGACAAGATGGAATCTGAATGGACATGGTTCTTCTCCCCGAAAACGCTAAAAATCAATGAGAGCCCTCCACACCGGTAATGTCATGGGTCTCGTACTACCCCACAGTTCCACTTGATGCAGGTTATTTAAGGATACTGAAGCCTAACTAAGCTTAATTTGGGGGAACCTAGAAAAGGCGGCAGGAGTATGGCAACCCATGATTTGATGGTTCTCTTTATTTGGGCCTAAAGCATATGTGATTAGAACCGCATCTTCTACTGCTGTTGCTGCTGGCTGCTGCTTCCGCTACTGCTTGCTCCTGTTGTCTATTTGTAGAATACTTGCAGATGCAACGGCTACAGCAGCAGCAGCATCCGGACTAGGCTGCACGACATGCAGGGTTTGCTGCCCGAGATGCAAAGAATCTGTTCGAGACGTGAAAATGTTGCATCTCCGGACGCCACCCCTGCAAGTCGGCGATAAGGACTTCGCCGCTCGGCTGCACGAAGCAAAATACAAGAACGCTCCACGCGAAAGCGCGAGTTTCAACCAAAATGCGAGGACGCTCCACGCAAAAGGCGATGTTGAACTCAAATGCAAGGACGCTCCACACCAGAACAAGAATTGCAATCAAAATGCGAGACGCTCTACGCGAAAGCGCAAGTTTAAACCGAAATGCAACCGAAATGCGAGGACGCTCCATGCGAGAACGCGATTTTCCATCAAGATGAAAGGACACTCCAGGCGCGAGCGCGATTTTCAAACAGAGTGCAACTAATCCCTACGCTAACTCTCTACGCAAGAGCGCGACTTGAAACCCAAATGCGAGAATGGTCCAGGCGAGAGCGCGATTTGCAATCAAATTGCAACATCGCTCCACGAAAGAGTGCGATTTTCAATGAAATGGCGAGGACGTTCCACGCGAAAGCACGATTTTCAACCAAAATGCAAGGACGCTCGACGCGAGAGCCCGATTTTGAACCGAAATGGGTGGAACCTCTACGTGAGAGCGCGAGTTTGCACCGAAATGCGGGGTTGCTCCACAGGAGAGCACGATTTGCAATCAAAATGCGAGGATGCTCCACGCAAGAGCACGATCTTCAACGAGATGGCGAGAACGCTCTACGCGAGAGCAGCAAATCGAAACAGATCCTTTTTGCATCTCGGGCCGCCAACCCTGCACGTCGGACCGTCGGTTTCAGCGGTCAGACCTGCCGTGTACAATTTTTACTCCACGCAAGAGCGCAGTTTTCAATCAGAGCGCAAGGACGCTCCACGCGAGAGTGCAGTTGTCAATCGGAATGCACGGACGCTCCATGTGAGAGAAACACGTCGAAACAGACTTTGTTTCATCTCGAACGGCGACCCCTGCACGTCCGCCGCACCCCGGGCCTCCTCTCGTTTTTGCATCTCGGGCCGCCAACCCTACAGGCCCGTCGCCCAAAACCAGCCTTTGATTTCCAAGAACGTTTTTGCATCTCCCACCAACGCATCCCCAGCAGCAGCAGCAAGAAGCAGTAGCAGCAACAGCACAAGTCGTGCGTCGCACCGCGTGTCCGATGATGGGTCGAACAGCAATCGCCAAGATGCTTCCATGTTGAAACTTGACGACTCATCCATCACTTGTAGAGGAATTTGGATGTCTCTCTTGGACAAGTTCAACCACAGTTGCCAGGACTGGCTAATTTTAGGAATGCTCTCTCGGCCCTGGAATCAAACATGTCTACATTTCATGTCTGCATTGAGGCACCATCGAACTTAGACCACGGAAGCGAACAGTGCTAGCATGGATGATAACTTCTTCGACATCCAGATGCAAGGCAATGGATCAAGCACGGATGTTAGTATTTGGTCATCCAGATGTACACAAAGGAAAAATGCACATCTAGAAATTGCCCGAGGAATAATCACATGATTACCATACCTTACGCGAAAACATGCGCAAACATGCGAAAAGAACGATTTCCAAGAAACAGACGTCGTTTTGTACATGGAAACGCCAAGCAAAATGGTCCCCAGAGGCTGGTAAGAAATGAGCATGAAGCAAAAAAAAACACCGTCAGACAGGAGGAGGATGAGTAGTAGTAGGCTCCGTTTACGTTCGTGGCGGTACATTGTCGTGGCATCGTGGGACCCAAAATGCTGTACTTTCCAGCACTCCTGTGTCTCAGTTGGCCGCAATTGCCTTGGAACTGTTTCAGTGCATTTTGTGTTAAACATGTTTAAGCATCGTTGATATTGGCTCCAGCAGAGTCAGGGATGAAACGATCCCTTGTGAAAGGTCGCAATGGTGGCAAGCAGCGGCACCATTGCGTGGCATGCGGCCAATTCGACCAGAGAGAAATGTAATTAAATCAGAACTCCTCACACCCTTGGACTCATGGGGCGAACCTCGGACTAATGAGGCGCTGATAAAAGTAAATCAGAACTCCTCACACCCTGGGACTAATGGGGCGAACCTCGGACCCATGAGGCGATGATAAAATTAAATCAGAACTCCTCACGCCCTTGGACTAATGGGGCGAACCTTGGAATAGTGGGGCAATGATAAAAATAACTCAGAACTCCTCACACCCTTGGACTAATGAAGCGAACCTTGGACTAATGGGGCTGTGAATAATGAGAAAAAGCCCCTGGGAAGCCTACTTGTTTTTCTCAAAAAACGTCAGAAATAGGCCCCGACACATTATAAAACGCACAAGCAACTCAGACCAAAAATGCTGGGCAAGTGGATCAAGCAGAAAAGTTCAAGGAAGACTGTGGACAAAAAATGGTGCGAAACGACAGTTTCAGTAGGGCGAAGTCAAGAGAATCACACCGTCATAAACACGACCCTTACATAGTAGTAATAATAGTTGTTGTAGTAGTAGTGGTAGTAGTAATAATTGTACAAGTAGTAACGGTGGTAGTAGTAATGGTGCCACTACAAGTACCAACCAATCTGCCTGGAATTCATGCTTCAAGGCGGGCGCCGGCACTGTGACCTTGGCGTTGCCAGTGTCAGGGCCTTCGTAGCGCAACTTCAAAACCTGGGAGTCCAGGGATGGTGCTTAGGACTTAGGCTTTGCGGATTTGGGGTGCAAAGGAGTGTAAGCTTAGTACCTTTGCGGCTTCAGTTTGGAGTGTAGGGTTTGAAGTCACTTGCAATTGCCATAGAGACACCATGACGCACGGCCGCTCTGTGTAAATTACTCTGAGAATCACCCCGTGAGACAAGGTCCTCAAACGCAATCCAAAAACTCTCGAATCCTAACCCTAAACCCCTAAACCCTTAAACCCCCAAACCCCTAGACCCTACTCCCAAAGCCCAAAACCAGGAAGCCAAGACCCCTGAACCAGAAACTCTGAGCCCAGGACTTTCAAGTCAAATTCACGGAAAACCATTTGCCCAAGTCCCTAAACCCCGCTACGGTGGATACTAATGATCCTCAAAGCCTCGAACTAGCTTACTCCTGGGGAATTGTGGTACTTGAGTGTACCACCTAAACCCTAAACGCTAAACCCCCAAACCCTAAACCCTAAACCCTAAATACTACTGGCAATACAGGATTTGCAGTATCGACAACCCTCCCAACTCTAGACTCGATAGTCCCCCTTAAGTAGATAGAATATGGCATTGGGCATTTTGTAATAAGATCCCCATATACCCCATATTCTATCTACTTCTATAAGTTCACAACCTCCCACCTCTCCACCGCCGGCTTCACAGAAGTCGACCGTTAGCTCATGCTTGCCCGCGTGTAGGGACCTCTGGGTGCTCTGCCTCTCCTGAGCCAAAAAAGTATAGTCCCCTTAGGTAGATAGAATCTGTAATCCCGCAAAACCATAATAACCTCCCCATACACCCTATGTTCTATCCACTTATTGGTTCTTCGTAGGGAATAGGGGAATATAGTCCCTGTATAATCCCCATATAACATATTCCCTTATTCCCTACTAACCCTAAATCCCAACACCCTGCATTATTTCTTTTCAGTGGAGGTGGTTTTCTATAGGACGGCTTCATGTTTGATTGATGGGGTGACGTGAATGGGATGATGTGATGTGGTTCTTGTTCGGTTTCCGTGGATAATCGGATTTGATGTGAGGCCTATGTCGTGAGGCTAAGGTTTTCGTACGGCTTTCCTGGGCTTGGCCTCAATAATTTGTGTGTTTCTATACGAGGGAAGTATATATCGAGTGCTAGTCACATGGACAGATGGGGTGATGCATGTATACATGGATGGAGAAATGAACGGATGAAATGATGTCAGATTCGCTTTTGCTCACTACCTCATTGCTCCACACGCTTTCAGGAGACTCGTTCTCCAGCTCTTTTTCAAGCCTTGTATCGTCTTTAGCTACGGAGGCAGCTACAACACAAGGTAGAACGCACCTCCCTCATAGGTTCCATACGCCACGAACCCGCTTACGCTTAACTTCTCCTATGACTGATTTGGCTTCTGACTCTCTCCTGCTCACCGTGGCAGCCGTTGTTGTCCACGATCTTCTCCCCGTTCAAGTACAGCAAGGAGCCTTTCATGATGGAATCATGGAATGATGGAATGATGGACTGGTGGAGTTGGTTCCTGGCCTGGTCAAGTAGACATCATGAATCATGCTTACAAGCGCTCAAAGGCCGTCTTACGACATGGAACAAGCAGGACCGAGATGTACTAGCTCAAGAACAAACCATGCAGAAGGCGATAAGACTTGCAAGTTTTCAAGGAATCAAGCCCTCATTCCACTCACTTATCGCAAGAGATGTGCTTCATTCCTGCATGTTTTTGCTGGGTTTGCTCGGTTCCTTGAAGCCTTGGTTCCATTTGGCAATTTCAACTGGCATTCTCTTTTGTTATCCTTAATAGAATGGCAGTAGCACTTGTTTGAATGCGTGTCATTTCGTATGCATCATGGTCGTGTTGCATCCTTCATGTCACTTGCAGCACTACCATTTATGAACCTCTCCTCTACAGACTTGACCCTGTCCAGGCGCCGTCATCTGAGCTGAGGTAGAACTTGTAGTTGCCCGCATTTCGTGTGATGATCTGACCACTGCACCTGAAAAACGCGACCAAGGACTTTTTTTGGTCTCCGCCTTTTGGACTCTCAAAGATGCCATGCCTCATGCAGAAGTTGTCGCCCTGGCGGGTTCCGGGGAATCTTCCCTTCTCCTGGAGTCGTGTAAAGGCAGCTTCTGTGCAAGGCTTCTGGGGATCAGGCCGGCACCCCCAGGAGCGAAACCAAGAATTGAGACATTCAGGACCTGGACTCTACAAACTCTTAACATGCAACTGTTGGAGGTCGGCGCCCCTAGGAGTACATGCAGGCAGAACCCCAGCGGGTCCATGAAAATCTCCGGCACAACCACGGAGCCTCCCGCTGTCCTCAAGCGTAACTGGCTGTTGAATCTTATAATAGGGAATGAACTACGGGGGGGACTGTAGTTACCAGCCTTGGTGCTACGAACATCACAGCGACAACGACGGGGAATACCACTACAACTACGGCGATGACGGCTACTAAGCTACTACAACTGCGACAACTCTGACGAGAATGCTGGCAAGCATGGCCAGACCCACACGTTTCAGATTTGGTGCCCATGCTGGGGAAAGGCGCGGACAGCCGAAGGCTTCGCTCGTCGTTGTCTTAATATTTGTCGACGGAGCACTACTCCGCTACTCTCCTCTTCGTCCTCCTCTATCTGCGACCGCGACTACTGGCACCCCTTCTGCTGCTACTGCTGCCGCCACTGGCAATGATCACGAGCTTATGTAGACGAGTTCAGCTGGGGCTATTTGGAATCTGGAAGCTCAGCAAACAGCGGAAAAATGAGTTACCCCTAAGGTGAAGCTACGGTCTTTGAGAACTCCAACCAACACAGCAAAGCGCATCCAGGTCCGTCAAGCGGCAGTGTTCCAAGGTCTGGCACTTGGCACTGTGCTTGGTTGTAGAAGTAGGTGCAAAGCAGGCCGTCCTCCAGGTAGGCCTGAAAGTCGAATTTTGGACAGCTCTCTGTTATCGGTTCTTGGCTTCTTGGTTGCGCTACCAAGTCTGTACTACGTCGGAATTACCTTTGAGACTGAACACTGAAAGCTTGCACAAGGAAGATTGTTTTTAGGACAACGTCTTGAAGCTACCTGGGAAGCTACCTGAGACTCAGACTTCCACCAAAAGTGTCGTGGTGGTGGTGGTGAAGGTGCTGGTGGTTGTCGATGTTCTCGTGGTCTCAGCGATGAGACACCCATGTCATAGGGGGGAAGGTCTCTGCCATTCTTGCTAGTCTTGTAATTTCTCCTTTTCTCGGTAATATTGAATATTCTCATCTGGTTGAGAGGATGCAACCACCCTACTACCTTCTTTCCTAACCCATGTGCATGCCATGTTTTCAGACACAGGATATTCTTCACAAAGAGACGAAAGCGCATCCATTGAGGCTCCCACTGTTGTGAAGGTCGACGTGGAGGTTGTGGTCGTGGACGTGGAGGTCGTCGTTGTCGTGCTGGTGGTCTCAGCAAGAGGCAACTCAAACTCAACCACCCTACTTGGCCCTACTTGTGAGAAGCCCCTGACCACTGAATTCCCAAAGTCTTCGTCAGCAAAGGGCTGAAAATCCACAGAACCAGCTTAAGAAATGCAGTGATGCCTCACACTCCTCCCCTATAGAGTGAATCATCAGAAGACGGCTACGCTCCTCATGAACGCCCATGGGTAAATCCTGTAGAGTTGACTGTAACGTCGTTGCATCAGCGAAAGCCGACACCCAGTCATTTGCCAGCATGTCCGCTGGTCAGAGCCGAATGCGTGCCCTTGAACCTACTTACTGTTAGGGATGAAAAAAGCCTTCTGCAACCGGCATTTCCTAGTTGATGTTGTCTCAAGGTCGTATGGTGAAGGAGAGCACGCAATCATGCTTCAGGTAGTCATGCTTTTCTTTGTTCCCAAGGCTGCGGGTTTGCGGGTTGTGAGGGTATGAACTGGGCAATGAGCCCTGCTAGGAAATTCGGGGGGCGGGGGGGGGAAGTCGCTTGAACCATTACCCCCGCACAAGTTTCACAGTAGCGTCAAGAACGTGATGGGAGAGAAGAGGAGTCTGGGAAACTTCAAGGAAGGCGAACTGAGCTGCGCGGCAGTCATGCAGTCGGAGCCCATGGTCCTTGGGTGAAGATAAACGTGGGACTTTGAGCGATTATGGTTGAGGATCCAGACTGCAAGGCTTCTGGACATGACATTGATATGATATCTGATTTTTCTTGGTGCTCTGAAGTTTGAGGATCCAATCTCTCGCCCTCCTACCCAAACTCTGAATCCAGTTGCAAGCAAAGAAACCTACTTAGGATTTAGAGTTTAGGATTTCAGGAGTTTAGGGCTTTAGGGCTCAGGGTTAGGGAACGATTTTTCTGTAGCCCTGGATCCCAGACGAGAAGAACTTCGGCGATGTTGAAGCCGTGTTCAGCCCCCCAAAAAAACGTGACAGCAGCTGAAACCCAAAAAGCCTATTGAGCCCAACGCTGTAAACTCAAAACTCTAAACTTGTAATGTGTCCTCCTTGAGCCAAGGGACAGGCATCTTCCGTCCAGCCATGCACATTGCATTGTGCGCACCTGGGAGTTGGATTCGGATTTGGAAGCCTCACCGGGTGGGTGGGGGCAATCCTCCAGAGCAATCTGGTCCATTGGTTCAGACGTCCAAAGAAGGATAATTGTCAGAAACCTCATAAGGAGTGCAGATGAACATTGCACATTACAAAGTGAAGATTTTGATTCCAGGCCTTCTTTGACTTCTCTGATATTTGGTGAGGGAAGACCCAACATGGGGGGGTTCTCTCAGAGCTCATGAACCTGCCAAACTGAACCCAAGCGAAACTGACAAGTGAAAACGTAGACTAAGAGCCCTCAACCCTGAACAAAGCAATAAAGCAATACAAGCGAAGCGGCTCCCACCGTCACGAAACGCTTGTTGCAGTCTGCCTCCTTCACTGGGCTTAGGTGATGCGCTCTTCTCACTTGGTCGGGGTTTGGGATTTCAGGGCCTGGGAGTCAGGTTGCCTTGGATTCTTCTGAAGCCAAGAAAGTCCCTAGAACATGCTTGACACTTCCGGATGTTTGATCGCGTTCAAAATTCAAAGTCCTCCCTACACCTCAAATGATGCCTTGTTGCGCTCCTTTACTCCGTTATAGGGACCCCCATAATCCTTTTATACCCCTCGAGTCCCTGAGGATCACCTATTGTCAGAAAAGGTCAGCTTGCTCTTGGCGTTAACCCTCAGGATCCCTCAGGATTACACGGTACCGTCGGACATAGCTTAAGCCGACCAACTCGTTTGCAGTTTGGGGAATCTACCCAGGCTATGGTCAATCGTATCCTTGTGGGAGTAGCTCCAGGAGGTGACATGCAGCATGACATCTCAATTGTAACGTACTCCGCAGCGACTCCGCATTCCACCAGGCGCGCAGCAGGGCAAAGTGAAGCACGAGCACCAGCAACTGACTGAGCTGACAAGTGGTATCAGATGCGGATTGTTCTGACTGCGGATGTTCGAAAACCGTTAAAAACTAAAGCCGAAATCTACAGGACAGACCGCAACTCGAAAATGCAAGACAACCAACATTACCTTGCTTCCATCGCTGCAATTAGGACCAGTGTCGCCATTGCTACCAAAATGCCCTAGCTTCCATTTCACTCTCCATTACCTTTTCCATTTGCTTCTCCATGCTGGGTAAGCTAATTTGTGACAATCCCCTAGAAAAAAGGAAGCACGCATGCCCGTAACTCCAATATACATTGGGTTCCAAGGGGTTGCTAGAACTGTAGGTACAGCCTAAACCCTAAACCCCAAACCCTAACCCCTAAACCCTAACCCCTAAACCCTAAACCCTATAATTGGGTTTCTTGGCGAATGCCTCCAGGTGCGAACAGGAGGCTCCCTCCACGTGGGATCCCTGCAGGTCTGCCATTTGCACTTTTGGAGACTTTGGGGTTTAGGGTTTAGGTTTTAGGGTTTAGGGTTTAGGGTTTGGGGTATCATAAACTACTATAATAGGGTACATATTAGGGTTATATTGGGGTTTATATTGGGATAATGGAAAATAAAAAGGAAACTACTATAATAGGGTATATATTAGATCGTTCGCATGTATGTAGGTGTATTAACTGAGGGGTGCTATACCTGGCCAGCATGGGGATTCCAGCGTTTGCTTCCGGATGTTTGTAGGAAACCAAGCGCGAGGGATCCGTTCTGCACTGCTGTTCAGGGAGCGCCAGCCAAACAGGTCAGCACTACCATACTCAGAGCCATTGACATCACAGTGTGCTTGCAACAACGACGAGAGCAGCAGCACCAGAAGCTGGAAGGAACGCACACCAATTAAATCTAAGATGTTGACGTGAGGGGTTTCAAAAATTATTCCCCCGCATCTGCCCCCAGATATCACGCTCACCCACTCCCACACATGGCAATAGTAGCTTGAAGTCTTTCGGCCTGGCACGGGAGAAGGATCGAGTCATCCGGCGGATCATGGCGACTTTGGCCCGTAGCCACAGGAGGTGCGCTGACCTCGTAGGACCAGTCGTCCTGACACTCAGGACAACATGCCCGGACCGTGGGATAAGGGTTTCGGGATATAATCCGCCAATAATGGAAAATCAAAATGCAAATGACATGGAAACTGGGATTTTAAATAGGAGGATTATAGGGGAAAAATTCTGGACAACATGCCCTGACTGTTCTACATGAGCTACGGACAAAATGTAGGTAGGACGATCGAACAGCCCCGTCCTTGCCGTCTTTTCTTTTGTCTGCCACCTTCACCGCCTTTGATTCGGCCTTCACCTGACAAGAGACCGAATACTTTAGAACCTTAGGCCTGAGGGTTGGGGCTCTAATGCTCTTTTAACCCCAACCCCTAAAATGAGGAGCGCCCATACTCGAGCCACGGGACGTGTCCGGATGACAATAGCTTTTCATCTAGATTCTGAGGCCGACGAAGAAGAGTTAGGAAATAGGGGCCTTGAGGTTTGAGTATCAACAACCGAAACAGCAAGTGAGAGGCGTCCCACGGGTCTCCCTTTTTAAGCAGCTGCCTGTCCCACATCCGCGCGTGAGAAGTCCTTCAGGGCGGCAATGGCCCTGGCCCGACTCTCCACAGACACAAGCTCATCCGGCATGGCAGCCAGGATGAGGGCAAACCTCAACTGCTTCCACAAGGGCTTCGGAATTTGTGATTTTGGCAGCTTGGGGTTTAAGGAAGTTTCGACAACCCTCGTGGAGGATTAAGAGTGAGGGATGTCAGAGGACAACTGTTTGCAAGCTTGCCCCTGTCGCGAAAGGATCGAGGGAATTGAAGACAGCATTCCTTCATGGCTTGCCATTAGGGCTCACAGTCTATGGGCTAACATGAAGGGCCAGTTTCAAGATCTTATTGGCCCTGCTTGTAAGCAGGAAGCGCTGCTCATTCCAGAGCTCAAAATAAGGTTTGGGGACATACTATACTATAGACTATAGATGCCATAGCTATGACTATATAAGCAACTTTGGGGTTGCTTATGCGATAAATCCATGCGGATGTTCAAGGACTAATGTTGGGATTTTTCAAGCTTCTACATTACCTGCAGACCCTTCAGAGGCCGCATGGTTCAGCTTTTGGGTTCATCATGGTAGCAAGCAAAGCTTTAGAGTCTCTAGCACCCAGTCAAGTTTAGGGTTTAGGGTTTAGGGGGTTTTTACCTAGCTTCTCCAAACCAAGAAATCGCAATCGCAACCAACATGCTTGGGGGGGGTGCATTTTTTCAGATTACAAATGCTCTCATCTCATCCTTTGAGATGGATCTTTCTCAAGCATACCATTAGGGTTTAGGGTTTAGGGTTTAGGGTTCAATCTTCATGGTCGCTATTTAGGTTCAAGGGCTCGGGTGGGTCCAGACAACGGTTCCCCCTGAAATCATCCAAGGCTCTGGTCTGCCAAATTGATCAAGGGGATCGTGGCCTCGGGGCTTTGATAGGAGGCGAAGCCCATTTGCAGTCCGAGCTTGAGCCTCAGCCAAGCACTCATGTTTATCCTAGGTTTAAGGGTGTATGTGTTTTTTTTGGACGTTTGGGATGTAGGGATCTTAAAGGTTTGGGGTTTGAGGATCTCCCACTCCCCACAAGAAGGATCCTACTCTTGCTAAATATATATCTTCACCAGGACATCGCTTGCAGAAGCGAAATAACAATTCAGGGCCATATGGGTGAAAACCATGTTTGGGTAGGCAGAATGCACTCCGGAGTTCAAGATCTCGCGTTCGGGCCCGAAGTGAGAAGGTATCTTCTAGAGGCTCTGCTTCTGAGCGTACATTTCACCTGAATCCACCCAACCATCCCCAGACCCCTAAAAACCCTGAAGACCCTGAACCCTGTAAAGGCGGAAAGTTGCGTGCCCAGACAAGGCAGGCAGCCAATTGCCCTGCAAAAGGCCTTTGACCGCGAAGTTCACCATGCCAGGATTCCTGCTGGCTGCTGGCACTTTCAGACTTTCAGGGTCCATGTGGAAGTATGTGGAACAGCGGAACGGTGGAACGCAACCTATATGCGTAAGGGTCTGGCGAGGTTGTTGAGATTTTTACGCAAGAACACGCGAAATGCCTTCGGCCAACACTCCCCCTGTGTCCGAATCCTGTACCTCTGCAGCCATGAAAGTTCACTTCACACCTCACGCCCTAAACCCTCCCTGATTCTAAACCCTAAACCCTCTGGCGCAGGGTTACGTGCGTCCATAGCGAAGTGCACAGCAAAAGCTTTCTGTTACACAGGCACTGTGACAAGTATGTGCTTTGGAGGAACTATGCCAGATGCCGATGTGGTGCCTGTCCTGAACAATGCTTACTTACATTGGCTGTACATGCTCCTGGCCTCCCTCCATAATGCCTGCGGAAGAGCGCAATGTCTTTCCTGCAACCCTGAACCCTAAAACCCTAAACCCTCTAAACCTATAAACCCCAAAACCCTAAACCCTATCAACCTATAAACCCCAAAACCCTAAACC